TAATTTTTAGAGAAAGACCCATGAACTGTAACTCACTGTCATGACTGCTTTACCAACAGTTTGAACAAAATGCTATGGGAACCTAGAGGAGAGAACAATTAATGCTGCTTGGAAGGGTTCAGGATGAATTCACAGATAAAGTCATATCTGAGCTGGACTTGGAAGGATAAGTAGGATTTTTGCAGAGAAAATGAAATAACTGAATGAATAAACAAATGAATATTCTCTCTCAGCCTCATATTTTATAATTAGATTCTAACACCTGTGGGCAGATACCTTGTCTGCCTCTTCTCATGTTTAGAGCAGCCTACATTTCCTTATTCAGCTGAAACAAATGCTTTTCAAGCGAAATAGTTATTTCTAAAGTCACTCTCGTTTATCCAATAACTTCAACTTAGCCCTTCAATTCTGGGGCTTAGTTGTGGATGACCAATTCAGCTATGTTATCATTGCATCCTTAACCTAAGTATTTAGCCATAATCCTCAGCAAAGCTATAAAAAAGACACTCAGTGTTTCTTTGTCCATCTTGACAAAGTCCAGTGAAGCCCAGGTATTTCTTGAAATATTTGTACCAACACATAATAGCCATGATGCATCACAATGTAAACATTGTATGTCAGGACTTTGCTTCTTTCAACCATTGTAGGAAACTGGGCTTGAAGTGAAGTGATATCAGCTGTGAGGGAGAATAGGCAGGGAAGAGAGTGATGTGTGTTAGATGGCATTCCTTCCTCTTCCCTTCTATCAGCTCACTAAGAAAGCAAGAGGATAATTTATTTCTAGATACCTGTACAGAACTCTAGCATAGCACCTGTCATAATGCATGTGTTTGTTGACAGGTCATCTCCCCCATCAGGCTGAGAGATGATTTCTTATATTCATCTTTGTACAATCTCTGCATTTTCCGCACCTTGCATATTTCCTGGAGCCAATTTGTGGAAAGATGGAAGAATGGATTTGCTCATATAGAGGAATTTTCATCTTTTCTGGGTTATGGATCTTTTTTTCAGAAATCTTATGGAAGTTGAAGACCTTCATCCCAAGGAAAAAGATGCATGTAGATACAAGCTTGCAAAAAATTGTGTGCAATTAAGGGAGATCACAGATGCCTTGAAACAAACCCATGGACCTCAGGTTAAAACTCTCTGAATTAAGAGAGAGGGTAGTAGGAAATTGGAAAACCACTTCTAATTCATAGTCTTGGCCAAATTAATATCAGCTGAGGTGGGGCTACGAGACTCAATAAATATTATGATTAGATGTAGAAAGAGCATTTTAGCAAATGTGAGGTGATGGTATCAAGGCCAGTGTGAATAAGGATTTGTGAGCAGTTTGTGTCAAGTCTAACCTGCTTACTGCTGGGATGACCTAGAGACATCGTTCTTCCTTTCTTGGTTTAATGGGCTCAGGGGTTTCTATTTTCCCATTAAAATTTCTTCTCCTTAATTTACCCTTTGAATTTCTCTGGCATTTACCTCCTTTCTCACTACTCACTAAGTCCCAATGATTCAAACTGATTGTACAGTATCTCAGGACTTGTGATTATTCTAGACCTTGAGAGACTGAACTGGTCTCTATAAGACTTAAGAAGAAAACTCTGACTCAGACTTTATGACCACGTCATAAAGTACAGAAGTACTTCATCAAAGTGAATTAGATGCCTGGTTATCAGATTTAGGCACTTTGAAAAATGTAAGGCGTAAGAATGTTCTAAACTCGATGACAAACTTTTGAAACTAATTTTGCCTTCAGAAATATTTGCTAGAACATGTTCTAAGGGCAAAAATTGACTCATAAACATAATCAAATAAGACTTTGGTTACAATTTCAGCACAAATGCCATCACTGCTGTTTCCCACCACTATCAATTCTCCATTAATAAGGAGTGCTCCCAAGGTGGGGCAAAGATAATTTGCTGTCTAAACCTTTTTTTGTCCGTGATTTGAATCGCTCTGGAAATTTTCCTTTCAGATTTTGTGTTTGTTTAGCAGGTTCTTTATAATACACGTGTGATTAAAATTATTTTAACAGCCTTAATTGTATTGCAATGACAAAGATCCTGTAGATCTTGTGACAACACATTCCTCTGTTCTGTATGAGTTTATTTAATGCCTTTTCAGTGGGTGATATTTGAACCTCTTTCATTTAGAGTAGATCGAGCAACACAATACAATAAGTGCCAAAACAGGTCGAGGAGGGGTTAAAGAACACACTACCAACAGAAAAACTGCACTCTATTGCGTAATCTACACAATCTTCGAGTTGAATCTGGGTTCTTGTGAAATTTTAATCAAGTAACTTGGGAACATGATATGATGATTGGGAAGTAATGTAAAGGAATTCTACAGACTACTAAATCTGCTTTAGGTTTTGTTCTATAATCCTATTGTAATTTTCAACGAAAGGAAATTTCCAAATCTTACATGCTTGAAGTTTCACTTTTTACTATGCACAGAGAAAGTTTTATGAAAGTAGATGTTTGGGTGATGGGGTGGTTTTTAAAGTACAACACGAGACTATTTCAAATACCAAATAAAAGGGGAAGCAACTGAGACTTTAATGACCACAGAGGGAAATATCATTGGAACTAGGGGTAGCATGAAATTTCCTAAAGAAACAGCAATGCGATAATTATTTTTGGTAACCCTGAATATCATGCAGGTCATATCGTATTTTGTGATCAGAGCAGAGCAAACACTGTTTAATAATGAATTTGTGATTTTAGTCATTGAAATTTTAAGGACAAAATGAAAATCTAAGTCTCTATGGTATTGCAAAGCACAGTCATGAAAACCATCCATCTAAGTAGTTTTTCAAAAAAATGTATGTCTGTAAAAGGACATGGGAGGAACCACTGAATTTTCAAATATCCATTTAAATATAAGTACTGCTTGACGCAGGGCCTGAAGGAGTGAGGCCTGAGCCCAAAGACTCCCAGTCTAGGGGAATTCACAGTCCACGTCAAGTAACACTTCTGGAGACCCGTCTTCACTTTGCTCTTACCTAATCAGGGAAAATCTGATTTTTAAAAAAGTCACAAAAGGGCAGAGAAGTGTTGAGGGAAAGGGGAAGGAAGAGGCCTTGCCAATTCTCGACTTGTTAATTAGGGTCAGACCAGTACTGGGGATTTCCTATACCCTAAGTTTGTTGAATGATTACATAGGTCTGGGGAAAAGGGATATGCTTAGAGTGATTCACCCAACTTTTTTAGTGTTGGGGTTCTGCCTGGTATGTTGCAATTTCCTCTTCTCACATTATGTATTGACTAATGGAGAGGGGAGGTCTCCAGCAGGTGTCTACTCCAATTCAAAACCTTGGCCAAGGCCTTGGCCTGTTGGGTAAAGTGGGGTTTGAATCTTCCTCTCTCAAATGAGTGGGGCTCTCACCAGTTAGGAAGAGACTTCCCTTGGGACTTGTTACAACAGCATATAGTGGCCATGGAGATTTGAGTGTAGTTTCCTGTTCTGCTTTGCCATCTTGGGGTAGCTCTGAAAAGCTTTCTTACCTCTGACAGGAAGAAAATGTTCACAGGATTGATTAATTACTACACAGAATGCAGTGGATAATTGAGCAACCTAAATCAGATGTTCAGATGGAAAGATGGGTAGACTCTGATGACACAAGTTTAAATTCTAGGTCTGCAGGTAAAGCTTTGCAAAGGGACCCACCTCAGAGACACCTGCACTGGAGCCTCCTTTGCTGAGAGCTTCTTCCCCATCCCTGGCATGCCAAGTCTGGATGAATTATCCGGATTCCTGGGGAAAAGGCTCCATAAATTGTATATACATATATATATATATGTATATTATATATAGAGTACATCAGATTAACTTTTCTGATTTGTCACTATCTTTGTAGACAAAATAACAAAAACGAAACCAACTCAAATAGCTTAAAAACGTTGACCAGTGGCTGCTGGTTTCAATATTCCACACGAGATTAAAATTATTTCCCAAGATGCATACCCTGTGCTCCAAATGATATTTTAATAACTTGATTAAAAATTTCTCAGAAGTCTATTAGAGTCAGGAAACGGTCTGCGGTGTAGGTGAGGATTTTCAGTTTTTGCAACGGAAACTTTTGGCCCCATAAACATAATAGCAAAAACTCAATTAAATGTGTTCTTCCTCCACCCTGGTCTAGTCCAAGGGCAAAAACCGAAAAACTGCTTGGAAGAGTGGTGTGTAGGTTTGCTTTTCCTCGTTTTTCCTCTAGAATAACCAGGGGGAGTCATACGATCCAATTTTTAAATAATCTTTTATCTCCCACTCTGAATAAACCCAGCCACTCCAGCACAGTCAGAAAGATTTTTCCCCCCAGCTTTTAAAGGATGGGGGAGGGAGGAGAGCGAGAAGGGAGAGGGTAAAGGAAGGGGGAGAAGGTACTTTAATTAAAAACAACCAATAACTCGAGGTTTTAGGATATGGGCTGTCATTAAGAAACAAATGAGTTTGACAACTCTTTGTCCAACTCAATTTTGACATTGCTATGAAATCCCTAGAGGGGTGGTGACTGTCCAAGCGACGAAACTCCATTCCCATGCGAGACCCCAAGCCAGCCCTCCCCGGCCGAGCCCGGCTCTGGGGTCCTTCCCCTCTTCGCGCAGACACCTCGGCTCCGCCAGGTCTGTCTCCTCCTGCGCTGCGCTCGGCGCTGGGCCGGCCGCCTCGGGCCCAACGCCACCAGGTCGGCGCAAATACCTTTTCCCTCCCCGGGGCCCCAGGCGCGGACACCTCCCAGCCTCCCTCCCTCCCAGCCCGCGGGGCCCTTTCCCGGCTGGGGAACAGCAGCCCCGGCCGAGGCGGCAGGAAGCGAAGCCCTTGTTGATGCTGTTCCGTGGCGCGCCTCCCCGCCCTCCGCCGGCCGCCCCGGCTCTTCCCAGCTCTGAGGCGCCCCCCTCCGCGCCTGCGCAGTGCCCCGCGGGGGGCGGGGCTCAGAGTCCTGTCAGCGGCGGCGGCGGTGGCGGCGACCGTCAGTTCTCGCTGAGGAGAAGCACGAAACGGACCCGTTGGCTCTCCCCCCTCCCTTTCCCCGCCCTGAACCCCCCTCCTAGCTCGCCGGGAGTTAGTCCCCGTGGAGTTTCCCCTCCACCTCGCCGCCGTTTCCTCGGTCCTCCGTTCGGTGGAAGTCACTGCCCTCGAGGAGGAGGCAGCGGCAGCCGCCCTCGCCTCGCCGCCCCCGGTTCGGTGCCCGCGGTCCCGGAGAGGAGGTGCCGCCGCCACCGCCGCTCCCCCCCTCCCGCTGCCCTCGGGCCGGGCTGGGTCGAGCTGCGATGCCCTCGGACTTCATCTCATTGCTCAGCGCGGACCTAGACCTGGAGTCGCCCAAGTCCCTGTACTCGCGAGGTGAGTCAGGTTGGGGGCTGGGGCGTGGGGGCGGGGAGGCCGGGCCCGGGGAGCCCGCGGGGTTCGGGTCGGGAGGGCGGGAGGCGGCCTCTCCCGGGCCGGGATGGCCTGGCTCGGGGGGTGGGGAGCGGCCGACCGCGTCGGGTGATGGTGGAAGGGGCCGGGGAGGAGTGGCGGCCCCTCCCCCGCGCAGCCGCCGGCCTCGCGGGGCCCAGACGCCGTCGGCCCCCGGGTCCCTGCAGCACCGGTGGCTCCGAGCGTCCCTCGGCCTGTCCGGCCCCGCCGCACTCCCCGAGCCGCCGGCCCGGCCTCCCCCGCTCGGGGATCCCCCGGCCTGGGCCCCGCGCTGGGGCCGCAGCCATTGGTGCGCCGCGGCTCCTCTTTCCAGGACCATCCTCCCTAGCAAAGTTGCCCCCAAACTGGCGGCGTGGCCGGGGGCCGGTTCTGGGTGCAGGGTCACCATTTTCCTCCCCCTCCAGGTTGTTTGCGCGCCGCCGTTTCTACCCTCGCTCCCTCCGGCCTAGTCCACTCCCTCCCCTGGTTGGGACGGCCCCCCTCGACCAGGCGTTCCTCCTCTCCTCGTCATCTTTCTGCTGGAAGGGGCCCGAATTTTCTTTTTTTCCTCTCTCTCCACCTCTGTGGCATGCTAATTACTTACTTCTCTCTCTGGCAAAGATCGGGGTGCTCTCTCTGGATTAGTTTTATTCTTCTCCTGTCCCAGGGGTACCAGCTCAGGTTCAGACGCCGTCCTTTGAGAATTTTCTCTTTCGTTGCCGTTCCAGGGCTCGTGGCAGGGAGGGGACATCGGATAGAGATTCTCATTTTAAAACTCTTTTGGCCAAGGCCTGGAGGGGATTCCCGGGATCTAAAATATTGACACTCCAGCCGATCTCTATTGGGGTTAAATTCCTGTACTGGACACCACAAGAATGTGTTAGAACAGGTTCCCTGTGCAAGGGACGTCAAGTCGAAGCGTTCCCACTGCACTCTTCACGGCTGTTTAAAATACTGGGAGGGGGCAAAAGACATAACTGGGTTATTAGCTATTCATTTTACATGTTAAAAAAAAAAGATGTGCCCGTGTGAACCTCCTTCTTGAGAAATTCAGCGTTTCTTCAGTTTTTTACTGGATGTATCCATCCGCTGATTCCACCCCCTCCAGAAAGGGGGACTTCAGCTTCACATTAGCATGTTTAAATTAAGTGAATCCGAGTGAGGTAGTTTACTGTGGAAGGTACTGGACTTTATAGACTGACGATTGAGTTTGTACACAGAGTCCTGCTTAAAGACTGTAGCCATTTGTCTGTTGCTCTAATGACTTTAGTTGGCAGTCACCACCCTGTAGGATGTTTTTCGGGCAACGTTACCTGAAGTAGTTTGGAAATACTGTAGTTTTGAGTGTCAGAACGAAGAGACGATATCAAGAGATGATTCTTAGAGGAGGGCTAATGTGGTACAATTGGGTGCTAAAAATAGTCAAGACATTAACACCATTTGTGCAGTAATCATGAGATAATTTTCCATGAAACAAATGCTTTATGAAAATCTAAGTTTAGCATAGATACCAATGTGGAGGCAATTCAGCCTTCTTTTGCAGAGAATATATTCACAAATATGGACTTTAGCTCTTAAAAATACGTGACAGTTATATAAGAGATGTATGCTATCCTAGGCTTTTTTTTTTTAATAAATCATTCAGCATAAAAAGTACTTAATGCTTTTTGTGTTTTTCAGATTCTCTGAAGTTACACCCATCACAGAATTTTCATAGAGCTGGACTATTGGAAGGTCAGCAAAGTGCGATTTTAAAGCATATTGTGTGAGTATGCAAAGGCTTTCTCTGAAATGGAGTTTAAATGAGAAAGTGGGAAACTTTGCAAACTCATACAATGTAGTTTTCTTCTAAAGAGCCTGATCCTTCTTTTAGAGCAGCTGAATGTTTTAGTGGATTTTGCTGCTGTGTTTGATGTGCTTGTTAGCTATTGTATCTGCTCTGAGAACCCTTGAAAAAAACCACAAAATCATTAAAAATCATGTGTTGGGTGTTTTACTTTAGAATTCCAGATCTTAATTCTAGCTTTTTACAAACAAACGGAATATGAAAAGGCTCAGACATTAAGATCATGAATATAACTAAAAGAGTGACACCAACACATATTTAGTTTGAAAATTAAGAATTTAGAACTTTTATATGCTGAGGATTTCAAAATGGTATATTAATTATTTATTACAAAAGCATTGATATCATTACTATTGCATTATTTTTTTAAGGTTAAGGAAAGCCAAGTAATAGAGATGATGACTGAGCTATGCTTAGAAAAAAGAGTTTTAGAAAGTTCTGGAAATGTTAATAGAATGTGTAGAGTAATTTAAACAGCTGACTTTTTAAAGCTTTATTTTGTGTTGTTTTTGGCGTCGTAAGATGAAAAAGAGTCTATTTGTGTTGTTTGTGTAGTTTTTGAAGTAATTTCACATGTCATCTTTGAATCTTGGAATTGGACGGCAAGACTATTAATTTCCCTGGTATAGAGATGAGTAATCTGAGGCTGAAATTAAGAGACTTAGAAAAAAAGTCACACAGTAGCAGAAACAGTGCTTTTTGTATTTTAGTTGATGCTCTCTACCCAAAACCAAGTTGCTGCTGTAAAAAGTACATGTAACAAGTAACTTAAACATTTTGTGATCTACTTAAAAAAAATCCCTAAATATTTAAGTTTGACTTGATTCTAAGTGTTTGCCTCCCATTATAGTAGTCTGGTATATTGGGGAGAAAAGTGGGTTTTGTTATTGAGCTTAAGTTTGAATACCAGTTTAGCTACTTATTAGCTCTGTGACTTTGGACAGGTGATTTTACCTCTCTAAACTTTAATATTCTTTCTATAAAAATGTATATAATCTTTTAAAGTTAGTGAGCTAATGTGTATGAAAAGGCCCTAGTGTAGTGTCTAGCTTAATAAATGTTAGTTTTTTCCTTTAGTATCACCTAAATTGTTTTAACAGTATAATTTAGAGCATATTAAAGGTTCTCAAGTTAATAATTGACTATATTTATGTTTATAAGAAGCCCATAGATATATATTAGTATGAAAATCAACTACAATTTGAGGTGAGGAATTTTTACAAGTGTTTCTTAGTGAAGCAGATTTCTGTTGTTTATTCATTTTGTTCAATTTACGACCATGTTGTAGAATTGTCTTTGTCTGTACAAACCTATCTATTTTTCTGGACAACAAACCAGAGAGTGTCATAATCCTAGAGATTATCAGAGAGGAGAAAGATATGAAAAAAAAGACTTAATTTTTTAAGTAAATATTTTCAACAAGTTGGTGGAAATGCAGACAACCATTTAATATGTATGTTTACATGTTTGTGCCTGACTACTTTTACTAATTTTTCCTTTTGGTTGAGAGAATACTGAATTATTTAAAGAAAGAACACCCTTTTACAGATTATGTATGAGATGTAAAATGTCTTAAGTATCACGTATGTCATATCCTTTTATATCTTTAATACAGGGTATCATAAGAAAGTTCTTTGCTTCTATAATGAAAATATTTAATCTATGCATCCTATTTCTATTTTTAACCTTTTATTATGGACATTTTAAAGAATATATAAAAGTAGAGAGAATAAAATAATGAACTGCTATATGCCCATCACCAAACTTTAACAATTATCAATATATGTCTAATCTTGTTTCTTTATCCTCTGCTCTCCGCCAGGCTGTATTATTTTAAAACAAGTATCAGAAATCATATCATTTCATACATAAATAGTTCTGTATTATAGTGACATTTCTTATATTAATTTTTTAAGTACTCTATTTCATTCCAGGAAATACATATTCTAATTTATTTCAGCAAAGTCTCTCATGTCTCTCCCGCCCTCTTTATAGGACATAGTACAGCAGGAGGCTGCTACTTCTAGTGTATAGTGTACTTTGTAATCTATGTTAAAATTGTAGGCCATGCGGTCAGACTTAGGTTCAAATCCTTGTTCTGACATTTGTGTGTGGCCTCAGCTCAGTCATTTAATCTTTTTGTGCTTCACTTTTCTCACCTTTGAATGAGGGCAATAATAATATCTTCATCATAGGTTATTGTGAAGAATATTTGAGGCAAATTCATGTAAAGCATTTAACCTAGCACATAGTAAATAAATTTAAATAGCTCAATAAATGTTAGCTAAATTAAAAAATTTTAAACAACCAGCTAAATAGTGCTTACTGTGTGCCAGGAACTTTACAGATATGAACTCACTGAATTCTCATAACAACCCTTTGAGAGGATTATCATTATCCTCTTTCACAGGTGAGGAAGCTAAGGCATAGGGAGGATCAGTAACTTACCCAACGTCACACAGTTGGTAGGTTGTAGAGCCAAGATTCCGACTCAGGTAGTCTCACTTTAGAGTCTGTGTTCATAACTACTATGCTCTACTGACTCCCTGTATTATATGAAATATTGTCTAGTAATATTTGTGTATGTATGCTCTACATCAGTAGTCTAGATTTCCATCTAATAATTAAAAACTAAGCCAGGGTGAGAGGAATTTAATTATCATCATACAATTTATTAAATTTTTCATAGAACGTACTTTTTGCAAATTTAAGTTCTTTGTTTATGACAGCAAGGTTGGAAAACCTGCAGTTGGGTGTTATTAAGCTTTAAAAAGAGATTCAAAAATCTGTTTACCATTCGGTTAAGTTTGCATGTATCCTACATATCAATGCTGGTCCTTGCTGCTACTACTACTATTTTTTTGTCTTAAGGAATAAGCAATTAGTCTTTTTTTTTAAGTTGAGGTGTAGTTCATATGTAACCTTATAATAGTTTCAGGTGTACAATGTAATGATTTGACATTTGTATATATTGGGAAATGATCATGACAGGAAGTCTGATTAACATCCATCACCGTACATGGTTCTGATATTACCTTTTTAATTAACATGGTAATTGCCTGATGATGGGAAAACAATCTAGCTATTTAATGTAATGATACATAGGCATTAAAATAATGTTTCTGATGACCCCATGGTTAATATGAAACCCTTAATAAAATAAATAAATGAAAGAGGTACTGTTGTAATTATATTAAAAATAACTTGCATAGAAAAAATTCTGGACAAAAGTATATATTGTAAGTTTTTACTTTTTGATTCTATTTTTGCATTTTCCCTACTTCTTTAAAGAAGATTGTTTTGTATATATTAAAACAAATAAAATGGTTTACAGTTACGGGGTTCAGATTTGAAGGCTAAGATTCTTCTTTGGAGTACCTAGAGAAAAAGTTCAGTTACACAGAGGAAAAGGTAACCCTTTCTTAAACTTTCTGTATTGAAAAATATCGATTTTAGCCTATATTGTTTGCCATATAAAAAACTGAGATAAAAGTGAAACTAAATGAAAGTAAACAAATAAGATTAAGAGGTAATTCTAAAAATATAGGCGTGTAAGATAAGATCATAGAAAATCAAATAAAACAGGAAAAATAATATAAGCAAATTGGAAAAAATAGAATAATAAAAACAATGGATTAAAATTTTAAAATGCTTTTAAAAACATTAGTTAAGAGATTACATGATGGATCAAATTAAAGAATTAGTTAAACTGGCTGAACTCCAATATGATGTGATCTTGGTATGAATTAAACATTTAAGATTAGAAGATTTTTAAAAGAAAATATGAAATCTTACAATGAGTTAGGGGAAAATATACTACCTTTTTTTTTTTTTCCTATGGTCAGTCTATTTGGTATGGTATAATGCGTAATTATACTTTATGGTTTACAAATGAAAATCCTAAAAACAGTAGGATTTTACTGGCTTGATGGAATAATTCTGATTTGCCGTTAGGCCTGATTGATTTCTCTTTGTAGGGTCTGTGTTTGTAAGATAGTTAGGCCGTTAACTCTTACATGATGAAATATATGAAGATATCTTACTGGAAAGTATTTTTGGAAAATATTTAACATTAAAAATAATCGTTCAATCCTTTTCTTGTTTAGTGTATGTTAATCTCTGTTGATCCCTACCCAGTAAACTAAAAATATCATTATGGAAATGAAGTTCAAACATATGATAAGTCATACATAGTTCATCCCAACTTTTTGCTTCTAGGATCAGTCTCTCTCTGATTTCCTACCATATCTTTTTGCGTTTCTTTGTAACCTCTGCTTTCATTATTTTTATTCAATACTAGAATTCTATTGTTATTACAATAAGAGGTAGAAATTCATATTTAATCCGATGTTTCTTGACCTGATCTTAATTCACTCTTGACTCTACTGTAATTATTCCAGGAGTCCCCTAAACTTTAAAGTGGTAGTATAGAAAAACATTTCTTATTTTGATCAACATTATATATAAAAAATTACTACTTTTATTAGAAAAAGTTGTCTCATCAGATTATATTTTCTATTAAGAATAACAAATAATTAGAAAAAAATAAAAGAGTAAATTAATCTGAAGCATCAGTTGGGCCTGATTATGTAGTGGCAGAGGATAGTCTTGTTAACTTTAGAGAGGTAAAAAACATTCTTCAATAGAAATGTAGCTTATTAACTTATGTTAATTGTCTTTTCTTTTTGTTGCTAAGATTTTATTTCAAGTTACATAAAAGAAATTCATGTGTCTCTTGTTTACTGTTGTCTTAATAAAAATCAATGTTAAAAAAACTAACAAGGTATAACATACTAATTTTTTAAACATGTACTTGAATGAATAGGTAGAAATTTTCTTTATGGATTAAAGATGTTGTGATAAAGGATCTATATTTTTGCTGATTTGA